GTACCTCGGGCCCTCAGCACCCGGGAGGGGGGCGCCTCGCCTGGAGCGCGCGAGCGCCGGCGCTTGTCTTTGGGGACGTGTCATTGGCTTTGTTTGGCTCTGTGAACAAAGACTAGCCTGAGCCTCTCGGATGTAATCCCCCAGCCCCTGGTGGGTGGAGGAGTGGCCTCAAGGTGCTCAGTTCCGCTGGTGGTAACGGAAAAAAAAAATGTGTCTTTGTATTCCCAGGAGGATATGAAGCGTTTTCGGCTTCCTGCCCGGAGCTCTGCAGCAAACAGTCGACCCCCATGGGGCTTAGCCTCCCTTTGAGTACTAGTGTTCCTGACAGCGCAGAATCTGGATGCAGTTCCTGCAGCACCCCTCTGTATGATCAGGTTAGTGGGGTCCTGTGTCAGGGGCAGAACCTGGAAGAGCAGTGCCAGTGAGAATATGGAAAGTGACCACAGGTTTATAATAGAGGGGAAATGGGGATCTTATTTGTTCCCCTGACGAGTGGGCTGGTGGAGCTGAATGTAATTACTGCACTACAGAGATATGAGCCTTTTGGCTCTGCTCAGGCTTAGTCCCTAATTTATTTCTTCTCCATCAGCAGTGCTGAGAAGGTCACCCAGCATCTGAAACTCACTTTTCCAGCAGGGAGTTTTTATAGGTGTGGGGACTGGTGTGTTGACTTGGAGCTTGACGAGTGTTGGATTTTTTTCTGGATTTCAGGGTGGCCCAGTGGAGATCTTGCCCTTTTTGTACCTGGGCAGTGCCTATCATGCTTCCCGAAAGGACATGCTGGATGCCTTGGGCATCACCGCTTTGATCAATGTCTCAGCAAATTGTCCTAACCATTTTGAGGGTCACTACCAATACAAGAGCATCCCTGTGGAGGACAATCACAAGGCGGACATCAGCTCCTGGTTCAACGAAGCGATCGACTTCATAGGTAAATGGAATTTCTATCTCTTTCCCTCTTTTAGCCACAGAGCCAGCCTCCATGGCAAGGACTTGAGTGATCCTCATCTGAGCCATCCAGACAGTCTGGTGTAAGCAGCATCCCTGCAAAATGGAGACTTGATGTCCCATTTTCCAAATTGGCAAAAATGAAGCTCAGATAGTTAAATTGACTTGTCCAAACTCAACCTGCTAACTGGATTTAAACCCAAGTTGCTGTCCTTTGCACAGTGTCCACTATGCCTCCATTAAACAGTGCCCACTGCTGACACCGGGTGATGTTGACCACCTCTGGATAGGACACTCGTGACATTTCTTGGAACACCCTCTACCTGAGCTTGGGTTGTTCTAAGCTGTCAAGTAACCAGCCGCCCTTTGTTTTCCAGATTCCATCAAGAATGCTGGAGGAAGGGTATTTGTCCACTGCCAGGCAGGCATCTCCCGGTCAGCTACCATCTGCCTTGCTTACCTCATGAGGACTAACCGAGTGAAGCTGGACGAGGCCTTTGAGTTTGTGAAGCAGAGGCGGAGCATCATCTCCCCTAACTTCAGCTTCATGGGTCAGCTGCTACAGTTTGAGTCCCAGGTGCTGGCCCCTCACTGCTCGGCTGAGGCTGGGAGCCCTGCCATGGCTGTGCTGGACCGAGGCACCTCCACTACCACCGTTTTCAACTTCCCCGTTTCTATCCCTGTCCACCCTGCCAACAGTGCGCTGAGCTACCTTCAGAGCCCCATCACGACCTCTCCCAGCTGCTGAAAGGCCATGGGAGGTGAGGATCTTCCCAGCCCGCTGGACTCCAAAGCTCCTTGAGAGGGCAAATGCAATAACTCCAGACAAGGAACTCATGAGGACTGGTCCTTATTTATTTAATTTCACCCGAGTTCCACTGGGTTCCCAAGCACTCATATTGATGACCTAGCATCAGGACATTTGCTGAACTCACTCAGCACATGTGGGACCAATATATAGTGGGTACATCAAGTCCCTCTGACAAAACGGGCGGAAGAGAAAGGACTGAGCTGGTTTCTTTTCACTTGCCCCTGTTTTTTCTAGAAACTTTTCATGCTTGACATACCTACCAGTATTACCATTCCCGATTGACATATACATATGAGAATATACCTTATTTATTTTTGTGTAGGTGTTCTGCCTTCACAAACTACAGTATCTACTCCTAGGAGAACCAAATACCTCAATTTTTGTGTTTGAGTACTGTACTATCTTGTAAATAGATCAGAAGCAGGTTTGTTTTCAGCACTGATGGAAAACACCAGTGTTGGTTGATGTTTTGTTTTGTTTTTTCAGTTGCCAACAGTTGTATGTTTGCTGATTATTTATGACCTGAAATAATATATTTCTTCTTCTAAGAAGATGGTTTTTGTTACATAAGGATGACTTTTTTATACAGCAGAATAAATTATGGCATTTCTATTGAAATCTCAGTACTATTTCTTTTGGCAACCCCACCTGATCCCTCTTCTGCTAGTGAACTGGGGAAACATTTGTACCAGGGCTTCCAGGGTGTATGACCTTGTATCTCTCAGCCCCACAAGATGCCTCCTCCTCCCAAGATGACTAGGTTGTAGAGGAGGTAGACCAGTGCCATGCAGAGTGAAACTCCAGGTGCTTACCTGAGCTCTTAATAGAGGGTCAAAGTGTCCACCTGGGTCCTTTTTACCAGCCCTATAGCTTATCATCACGTCACCCAAGGACCCCAAGTGTCCTTAGAACCATAGTGACAAAATCCATTTAACTGGATTGCCTTTCTTATACTTCCCTCAAGATGATATAAAAAGTCTCCTGAACTGGGCCAGAGTTAAAAGGATGAAATGTGTTCCTACTATGTGCAATGCAGTGGGTGCTGTCTGTCCTCAGAAAAACTCAGGCCTTGCAGAAAAGGCTCAGATCCAGCATAGCTAAGTGGCAGGAGAAGGAAATTCTGAGCTTTACACTTTAGCACTTGCTATCTCAGAACTGTTTCTGAAAGACCTTTATTTCTGTGAAAATAATACATCAAGTGAATAAGCACTAAGCAGATAAAGTACAGAGAAATCACCTACAAAGCCCCCATTCTGCTCCTGACTACCGCTAGCTTTTGGGTGTTGTCCACACAGGTCTTGCACACAGCATCTGCAACTGCCTTCTTCGGGTCCCTTGCTTCTTGATTTCATAACTTTGCTGAAGGAGGTTGTCAATTACATCTACCTTGTTACAGGGCAGTATTCTGAATGTTTACTATTGCCAAGCAGGCCAATGCAAAATAGGCATAACTGACTACCCACCCATAATCCAGTCTGTAATGTTAAGTAACATTGAAGCCTGAGGGTTCCTGCTTCAATGTGTCCCCCACCTCCCTGCTTTTCTCCTGGACAAAGTGCTGTGTGTGGGGGCAAACATCGTGCTCAACGTATCTAAGAGTGAAGAGTGTCCCTTCTGTGCTATGGTTCTCATCTGGCTCAACAGGGAACCAATGCCCTTGATCTCTCCCCATTGGCCCACTTTCTGCGCTTCACTCTCAGGGCCCAAAAGGTGTCCGTGTTCTAAGACATCAGAGCTTGCCCTGGGCTGGCACGCTCCTTTACTTGGCTGGGTTACCGATTAATTGCAAGTGTGTTCATGCCTTTCAAAACAAACCATACTTAGTGTTCTTATCAAACCCTGGAGATTTACTATTGCAAATCTCTTCCTCTGTGGAAATGTACCAGCGACAGCGAGTCCGTGGCCAATGCCGAGACTGACTTCCCCGTGGGCTTGGGTCTTTACTTTCAACTTGGCAGGCGCTGGCTGAACCAGAATTAATCTCCAGTGTGATCTACTCAGTGGAAAAATACAGTGCTGTCTTAGGGAGCTGCCAGGGAAAACAGTCCTCTCACTTCTCCCTGCTCAGTCCACTCCAGCCCCAGAGCTAGAGGCCACTCCCCTTTTCCCCACAGATCAGATTTGCAATATTCTGGGCCTCCAGAAAATGTCACATTTGCCCCAACACTGTTTTTCTTGGGAAAAAATCAGTACCTCCTGATGAAAAGAGACGCCTAAATTCTATTAAAATACTTGTTTCCCGGGGATAATTGAAATGGAGACAATTTAATAATTTAATATTGATATTAGGATAATAATAGCTGTCAGTGTCAGAGCAGGCACTTGTGCCAGGCGTTGCTTGCTAAGTGCTTTACCCATGTTCAAATTCAACCGTTCACAGCAAAACCCATTTTACAGAAGAGAGAGGGGAACATGCCCAAGGTCATAGAGCAAGTCAGTGACCTTGCAGCAAGCCGTCCAGATCAAAATGAAGACTGGGGACCAAAGATTCAGTCCAGTTGGGAAAACAGCTTGTGGGAGTTGGGAAAGATGAATTTTATAGCCAACCAGACTTTTCTGTGGTTTCACTACATACTTTTTGGGTGGAAAAGCTGTTTATCCCTTAGGGCCTGTTTCCTTCCCTGGAAGATGAAGGTAATAAAAACTGCTTCACTTGTGAGAAACAAATTGGCCCAGGAATGTAAGATACCTTGCATCTCATGGGCCCTGGAGAAACAGATTCTCTTAACCTGTCCTAATGACCTCTGGCGGTTGTCCTGTCTCATCCTTCCCACCCCATAAAATGACCAGTTTGCCCTGGATCTAAAGGGTAAGGTTTCTCCCAGTTCTCTAGCTCTAGGGTGTGGAAAATGCATTCATGCATACTTCATGCTTTTCTGTGGTTTCCAAGCATCTATTATTTCATTTAGATACTTCCAATCTCCACCTCTTCCACTGCATCCTTTCCTTGGAATTCTGCAAGTCTTAGCTACTTCGCTTTGCATTTTCAACCCCTGGCACCATTTCTCTTTCTTCCCTGGCCTAACCGGGATGACATCATGGTGCCTACACCTTTAAGATTATATAAATCTGTGATCCCACAGTGGCCTCCATCCCCATGGTAACGCGGAGGAGTTTCCCTTTTGTGAGGAGAGCTGTCAATGTCACTTCCTGCTGCTGACAAATCAGTTTTAGGAGATTAAAATAAAGGTGGGGGAGCAGGGTGCCTCGGAGAAGTGCTGGCTGTGGTGGTTTCTGGTTGCTGTACACAGAGGCAAACAATGCCTTGCCAGGCGGGTGGCCCCGCCTAGCCCCAGCTGAAGCTCAGGTTTCCCACACCTCACCCCGGGTGGATCCAGGTCACCCCAGGCTGTTTTGCTCCCCAGGTTGAATTCTGAGGAGCAGGTGGGAGGGCTGTCCTCCTCTGGGGACTTTTCTGGAGCCACGCAGAGCTAGCTTATTCCAGAATAGCCTCTGCATCCAGACCAGCCTGGTTCCCCTGCGTCAGCTCGGGACGTGTGTTTTGTCCGACGGAGAAGAAAGGCCTGCAGGTTGCTGGCACCATAGTGTTAACAAAACTATGCTCTGCTAAGGAAAATACACTAAAACCACCTTTTTTCATTTTGACTGTAACTTTCTGAGTGAAGCAGCGGGCCCACTCATTCAGTCCCTCACTCGCTGATGAATGCACTCTGAATTATTTATAGATTCTCTAGGCCCCAGGAGACTCTGCAAGACAAGTGCTTGCTCATAAGTAGCTAATACAGCAACAGAATATAAATAAGATAACTAAGAAAAAGGAGGATGAAGGTTATGAAGGTGGGAATAAAAGGGGAGCCCTCTGGATTTGATGGGGAGAGAGGCTTGTCTGAGGCGGCGACTGGCTTAATGGGCTGAATGGTGTAACCCAGTCACCACCCCCTGGAGAAGTGAGCTGGGGAAAAGGTTCAGGCCAGGAAGGCAGCAAAAACCTGAGCTTGGAATGGGATCTTTGTGGGCAGGAGGATAGAGCGCTTGATTTAGTAGGCTCATCCAGACCTGTGTTCAATTCCTGATTGTGCCACTTACCTGTAAGTTATCAATGTCTCTAAACCACTGTAATATGATCCAATGACCTCCAACCTCCAAAGGCCCTCCACGATTGAACAGAAGGCAGTCCTTTCTGGGCACCTCACAGGGGTGTGAGAAAGGCTTATTGTTGTCTGTGACTCAGCTGGTCACCATTTTGTCACCGAGCAGCAACACCACTCCCCAAAGCGTCCCCACAAAGGGGAACAGAGAAGTGAGCTATCCTGCCAACGTCACGACATACAGCACATACAGCTTCCCTCTGAGCTTTGTCTTGAGAAGTGGCATTGCTCTGAGATTACCAGCCCTGCCCACTGAGCTGGGGCAAGGTGCCTCCCCTTTCTAAACCTCAGTTTCCTCATCTGTCAGAAGCACCTGCAATGAACTTTATCTGGCCTCTTTTCCCTCCCAAATGCCAGTGCCATATCACGGCCAGGAAGGCTCTGGAATCCCCAGGGTTCATTAGGGCTGGCTCAGGACAACAAAGGGAGAGGAAAGAGACACTTTCCGGGATGGGCAGCCTCAGGTCCTGGACCTGTGGGAGATGATTTGACATAAAGAGATGCGACTAATCCTTTTGAGAATGGCTTCCCCACAAGGGCGTGTGGGCATCATATACAGTGGGACCCCATGGCCCAGACTTCTGTCCAAGCCCAAGAGAATCCTCTGCTGTGCACCACACTGCAAAGATGGGATTTAAAATGTTCACCATAACTAACACCATTCATTCAGTCAATCAATCAATCAATCAATCAATCAATATGTATTAGTACCTGTAGTTTGTCAAGCATTCAGCACATGTGAGAATAATACAGTCGAAGGACATTCTGAGATTCTGTGCCAAATACCTGCAACAGGGCTGGAAGGTCAACCACTGTCTGGGTGATGTGGTATGGATTATTTCTCCTCTCAAAGCTTCATTTCCCACATCTCTAAAAAGAAAGTAGGGGAAGTATTTGCTTCGCATGGTGACTGTCAAGATTAAATGAGAATAGCAGGGTGTGGTGGTGCACTCCCATAATCCCAGCACTTGGGAGGCTGAGGCAGGAGGAACTCTATGAGTTCGAGACCAGCCTGGGCTACATAGTGAGTTCCAGGTCAGTCTCAACTACATAGTGAGACCCTGACTCAAAAAACAAACAAAAGATTAAAAAGAGTGTATCTGACTTATTTTGCATATCATAACAGTATAGATTGGTTCTTTTAACCATCGTTGTCATTACCAACATCATTACAAGGGAAAGATGAAAAAAAGGAAAAAATACATATGACAGCTAGCAGATGTTAAACTCCAGCCTGGGCCTTTCCCTGAATGCAGACGTGAGTATCCTACAGCTCTCTACACATAGCCATTGGTT